TGGAATCGGCGGTGGTCTCGGATCGCTGATGCTGAGAGGATGAGGATTGGTTGCCAGCGGCTGCCTTGGGAATTCAATTATAGCAACGGAACAATGGCATCCGCGCCGGTAATGAAGGGACCGTCGCCTAGAGGTCATCGGATTACATGGTATTTACAATACATAAGTCGGGGATAGTTGTTGAACGAGGCGGCTTTCACTGCATCAACACATCCCCGCACCTACGTCTTTCCCAATGTTATGTATAAGCCCTAGTTAAGAATTAGCTGTTACTTTTCCACAAAATCGGTTCGGAAAATCTCTAATATCGTTTCACTCTGTTTAATATGCAAATTTTTATATTGCATATACCTGGTGGGGGATTGTGAATATGCAACCTTTGTTAAGTTCGGTGGCAACTTCGTGAGATTTTCCATAACATTGTTCCCTTTTCTTCAAATTACTTCGAATTGCTTTAAAAAGTACTGCCCCTGAAGTACGAAATACAGAAACGCTATTATAATGTGCTCGATCAAATATCAATTATCCATGCAAATTATTTAAGAAAAGTTCCGATTCAATATACACCTAAAGAATCAAAAATGATTTACCTTGTATTAAAAGAATTAAGAATGATTCGTCACGTACCCAGTTCACTGTAACCCAGAGAGATAAATAATGGTTGTTAATTGAAGGTTGCGGCCAATACAGAGCCACGCTTTAGTTAGACTGGAACAATAAATCTAGATAACCTTTGGCAGTGAGAATGGCGAGAGCAGTGCCATCGAAATCTGTGGCGAAGGTGGTCAGCCGAGTAAACATTGGTTTCACGGCGGTCGATGGGCGGTGGGGGAATTTACAAAGAAGCAACCCCTTTGGTGCTGTCGCGGACGAGTTTCGTAATTACGTTACGGAGCGGCGGGGGTGGACGGTGGGGGGTTGCGGGGCTGATTCTAAACGAGGGAGGCTCCGACTTTCTCGGTCGGTCGGCCATGCATTCAGCGGCAGCAATGGATTCTGTCAATAACTTCTTTAAAAGAGTCTAAATGCATTATTTGGCTTCTATTCGGTGCGCTGGTGTGCCGATGTGCTGGTGAGCCGGTGAGTTGGTGAGCTGGCGTGCTAGCGTGCCGGCGTGATGGCGTGCTGGCGAGCGGCCCGCTTTTTTTTCGGTTTCGTGAAAAGTTTCGATCGCTGGGATTATTCTCGGAGGGTCGTGACAGCGCGCTGCTCGCCCCCTTTCTCTTTTTCTCTCCCTTTTCTCTGGTCTCTCAATCCAATATTCCAAATCGGGATGTATTATTGATCATGCGATATGGACGCCGCATGGCACCCTGTCGTATCGAGCGAAATGCCAATTCTTTTCGAAACTGTGACGCATTCTGGCCGCCCTTAAAGTCAGACTTCTCCTCGGAATATGTAACTTTAACTCGGATTGGGTCAATCGCAGTTTCTGGCATTTTTAAAAGAAGTTCTGCTTCAATTTTCTCCTACTTAGGTCTTATCCATTCATGTAACTGTGGCGCGCTTTGAGCGTTCTTAATGGTAGAATTTATTTAATTAATTAAGATTAAATCGCAAATTCTCCCATTTTCAAAAAAATATTCTCCACTTTTTCCATTATACCTTGGTTTTCATCTGATTCACATTTTTATTAAAATTGCATTACATTTGCAAAATAAGTATAATTCATTATTGATGATATACTTATTTTGCAAATGTAATGCAATTTTAATAAAAATGTGAATCAGATGAAAACCAAAGTATGATGGAAAAGGTGGAGAATATTTTTTTGAAAATGGGAGAATTTGCGATTTAATCTTAACTAATTAAATAAATTCTGCCATTAAGAACGCTCGAAGCTCATTATTTCTCCTCCGTACATTTTGTTTATTACCTTTTTAATCAATGAAATGTTTACAATAATATACGTTACTGTGTTACGTGAACGTTACGTGCCGTGTTTGACAACGTATTAATCCCATGTCAAAGCCCGCGATTTTCGCAGCAGAACGAGATTGTTTATTCATTAAATTAGATACCGTAAAGTTAACGTGACATCGTGCGTTTATTACTTCTCCGAACTCGAGGAAATGTTTATTTACTATTTATTATATTACTAATTATTTAGAAAGGTCTCGATAAAACGAATTCATAACGATACGACGTACGAACACGTATCTGTTCGAGTAATTTATTAAAATGCGAACAGCTGTGTCTGTCTGAAACATTAATGGCTCGCGATGTAAACTGCCAGAGATTCTCTGCTCGCCTCAGATTTTTGAATTTCATTCCGCGAACGTGGAAAACGGTGAGAATTAATCGTGAGACGTTAACTCTGTTCCAAACGTTCACCACTTCTCCTAACGAAATTTTAGTGAAAGAGAGTTAATTCTTCGATCTCAAAAATATTCTCACATTTTCTCAATTTCTATCTTCAACTGCGTGTACTCATTTTTATTACGAACGCATAAAATCTTCGGTCTACATATACATAAATCTGTTTATATAAAAATTCATTATAAACATACAAGTGAAAACATTAATAGCGTTGCGATGTTATGCATCGCTGTAACTATACAGCATAAAAATCAAATTGTTGATATTGCAGACACCATGCTTTGCCGCGTAACACAAATACATAAATTAGGAAATGCATGATGTTATTTAATATAACTATGGATTTTTTTAGACCATAGATTGTAAGTCTGTAAATTAGGGGATTGACGATGCTATAAACGTTATGAATCGCTGTAACCAGTCATTGTAAGTATATCAATTAAAACATTTATGGCGTTGTAGACATTATGGATCGTCGCGACGATTAATTGCAAGTACACAAATTGGAAAATTGATAGTGCCGTAGACAGTGTAGATCGCCGCGACTATCGGCCGGACGATCGTTCAATAAAATCGAGCCCCTGAAATTCGATCTATGATTTATCTCTGAATAGGTTCGTCGATCACCTCGGATCCTCGCACGGTCCCCAAAGAATTTAATTTCGCTCGGAAAGCCATTATGTAAAAGACTCGACGCGTTCCTCGGTCGCCATATAGGCAAACAAAAAAGGTCGCCGCGCCGGGACGCTTCCCCGTAAACCGAACGAGTTTTTAATTGTCGAAGCACATCGCGCACGGGCTCGCTCCGTCTCGAGGGTGAGAAGACACGTGTGCCGTCCACCCGTCAAGATCTTTCTCCATATATGACCCTAGCCCCTAATTGTCCCTATATTTGACAGGCGGCGTTATATTTCCGACTTGCTCGTGACACAACACTGGCCACGTTTCTCCTAATGCGTGGACGCCTTTAACCCTGCCGCGCTGCGCTCGCATAATTTGACAACTGTTACATTCGCACGAGTGATGTTGCATCTCTTACTTTGCAATTGAAAATGAAGCTTGCTGTTTGGTTAAGGTGATCTTCGTAAGTCAATATTTTCGAAAATGTCACTTCCGCCGCTATGATTCTAGTCCGCTCAATTGTGCATATGTATATGTTACGTTCGTGTTAATATAGTGCCAAGTAGAATGTTTCTGTTATAAACTTGAACACGATCGTTACCAGTTCCGCATATGCGTATAAACTGTGATTTAGTATTTCACGAAAGGTAACTCAAATTAAGTTTATATGGGTCTTATCTAAAATAATAAGAGACAGAGCATAACTTTTAAAGAACTCGTCCCTTAAAACACAATGTTATCTTTTATATTTCACTAGAGGAAACGCTGCACTTTATAGAATGCAGAAACACCAGAAAACTGGTAGCGAAAGAAATTCTATCGTTAACAATTTGCCTGCCGCGTCGGCAACCATAAAAATGGCATCGAATCGAAGTACATATTTCATTTAATCAAATTAAGATTCGATGACGCCAATTTCTTTTTCAACATTCGTACGTTTTACGGGCCCTGATCAAATTAGAAACATATAACGAATTAGCGTAAAATTTAATTTCCAAATCTGCGTGAATAATTCCATCACCAACGTATATACGTGTGAGGCGACAGTTTGAAGTGTTAAAGAGGTTTTCTTGCCTTCAGAAACGCTTCGTGACAATTGAAAAGAAAACGATATGGCTTTAAATTTTACTACGCCGTAAATTCAGAAGGTTTCGCAACCCACTGCCGTCTCATGGAACTTCCGAGAGTGTACTTTCCCGAGACTTTGCGCGACTGTTATTGCGTGTTCAATGCGCGCGGACGAGTAAATAACTCGATCTAGCAATTATCCCTCGTTTCGTTCGTGTTTGTTTATTAGCTTTTCCAGGCGACCGGTTGCCGATGCATAAGCGTCAAGTGCCCGAAGGCTGACAGAATTTGTTCGAAAAGTTTCTGTAAGCCAAGCAACGGTTAATTACGTTCCGCTGAAAAGAACATCGCGCAATTGCGCAGATATTGGCGCGCGCAATTGTTAACGAAGCTTGTATAGGTATCCACGGTCGTACGGAGATCAGATACGTGTGCGTCGAGTCGTTTCTCCTCGTTAAGGGATTCCGTAGGAGGAGAAGATGGAGCTGGCGTGCGGATTGCGGAAGCAGTCGCGAGCGTTTTCGCGCTTCGCAGCCGCAGAGCAGTTCGGAGTTGCCATTCGGAGCACGTAGATTGCTAACCTAACTTGTTTAGCGGTTTTAGCGGTATTTGATTAGTTGAGTGAATTTCCGAACTGTTCCAGACCGCTCGTCTCCGCTCGCTTGCTCGTTCGCTCGCTTGCTCGCTTTCGCTAGCTTCGGACTTCGCCCGGAAATCGGACGGGCGACAAACCTACGGCGAATTTTCCGCGTGTACGCTGCGACTACGTGTCTTGTGTATATTGCTGCCTGTAACATTGTCGCTGCGCTGCACCGTTCTGACTGATTGAATGGAAATTGTGACACCGGTCTCTCTCTCTCTCTCTCTCTCTCTCTCTTTCTCTCTTCTCCTGCATTCCTCCCTTTCCCTCCCACTTTCTCTCTCTCTCTCTCTCTCTCTCTCTCTCTCTCGTTCACTCTTTCACACTCTCCCGCTCGAAATCAAAATCTTACCTTGAGAGTAGTTCATGTCCTTCTCTCATGTACGTCGATGGCTACTCCTGATCGGAGTCGCGATCACGAACACAGATTACCACCTGCAATTAAAACACTTGGTTAGTGCGACTGCTTCGTTTGTTTTCACGCTCTAAGCCAATTAGATTTTTGTGGGAGTTTATTTAGTATTTTATGGAATGAGAGGTTCTAGTTTATTATTTAAGGAGTAAGCTTCTGGTTTGCCATTCTCTGTCGAATCTACATAGCTTTCATATATTCCACAGCTTCTATAGCACCAGTATACTATTTTATGGAATCAGTTTATTATTTTATAGGATCTGTAGTTTTGAATTCAACTTTTAATCGAAACTTCATCGATTGTTACCATTTTCTTCATATTTTGTGATTTAGAGTCCATGTAATTGTTTCGAGGCTATTTGATTTTGTTCGCGTTTTGGTAGTCAACAACTGCATTCCTTTTGCAGATTTTTACAGTTTCCATGGTATTCGAAATGCATTCTACATATTAGGATTTTACGTGGATGCAATTAATAAAGCATACAAGATGCTATGACTTTTTTTGAGTGTTTCGTTATTGTACTGTAACCATTCTTTAAAAGTGGAGTCTATGTTCACACCTTTTCTTTTTTATTCAGGCAAAAAGAAGTGAAGAAAAATATTGTATAAATTCAGGCTTGCAATTCGTTTAACATGAATCCTACGTTCATTACAATTTATGCTTATACATTTTTTTATATATATCGTTTGAGTACATAAATTTTTGAAAAATTCCCTGCAAGTATATTCTAGAAAAAGAAACGTATACTAGGTAACGGAAAAGAAGTACGAAGTCAATCAGAATATTAGAAAATACGATCACGAAAGAATGGAATCAATTACAATTACAACGTTGGAAAATAAATGAACAAGAGCCATGCAATTTTAACGAAAATCATGAAATTATTTTGAAAATTCATTTGATCTTTCAATGCACGATTATTCTGAAAACGGAACATTTTTGGAAGCACTAAATTTCGAGTGAACAGTGACAGCGGGTATCATTGGAGTGGCTGTTACTTATAGATATCGTCAGCCAATCATAGGTTGACCCAAACCGCGGTATGATCGATCATCTGTTGCCAGAGCGCGCGCTCTCCGTTCGTTTTTCTCGGCCCGCAGTAAGTCTCAGCGCGGCTGATGCCGATTGGAAAATCGAAGTACCCACGAGAGTGGTTACGGATACCCGTTAAATCCCCTTAGCGGTGGCAATATACGAGAAGAACTTATTGGCTAACTAAGCCAATACCACCGCAAACGATGTGTCCATCTGGCGTGCTAATTAGCAAATTATTAAACGAATTCGAGCGTTAGCTCTAATAGCCGAGCAATATTGGCCTATTTTATCCGTTACGCGACGCTTGTAACGTATCCGTTTATTGGTCGACATAATTGTATTCCGGATACGATAAAACCGACACCGATAAACTTTGGTCAAGTGTTTTTTATTTGCGGCAGGGCAATCGTTAAATAAGCAATTGAAGAATTCGGTCGTCGTTCGTTATGCATTGATGAATCATGTTTTGCACCTGCACTATCGGCGGAAGCGAGATCGTGCAATTAGCAAATGGAGCAAATGATCGCCGATGCACGTAAAAAATTGAAGCGCAAGAATTGTCTGCACGTTTAGAAAACTCAACTTTTCTCTAACAATATTCTCTAATAGGACACGTTTTTGTCAATATTTCGGACAGGATTGTATATAATGGAGTTAAATAACTATGCTAGCTGCTACAGCGTTGATGCATTTTGACGAGATGCGTAAGGAATTCTCGAGAAACATGTTCACGAAAATTCAATGTAAGATCGAAAGCAAGTTGCACTGCCTGCCGTTTAATAAAGCGGATTCGGTTACACGATCCACTCGAGGGTTATTTATTCGAAGACATGCGTCTTCGTCGGCGGTGTAGCGGACGCGTACGTGGGGCTATACAATTAGAGGAAAGTGGACGAAGTTGTCTGAGCAAATATCACTTAGGAAAATACAATTGGCAGCGGCGGTAATCGAAGAATGCATTTGCGTCGCGCGCAGAAAATGCTGGCTGCCCGAAATAATCGGATAACTCGCGTCGTTCTGAGACACAAGGATATAATGGAGAACTTCGGGAAGCGGAAAAATAAGAGAATAGAAGGGAAAGAGCACTTACGGTTGTGATTCGATATGCCGGGGATAAATTGATACGAAATGGATTACGGAGTTAGTATGTACCGGGTGAGATTCGTAACACGTTTCCCAGCGATACACACGGTGGTCGCGAAACAACATTATCTATCCCTACTCGTCTCAACAGCATTACAAAAAATTCTCTCCGTAAACGACAACTTCTATTTTTCGTATATTCGAGTCGAATTTGACTAGTTGTATCTATATTCTATACAGGATAACTCGCACACATCAGACAACTTAGAAATTTGGCGTTTTACAGAAAATTGTTAAGTACAACAGTCGCACAAAAAATCGTACATCAAATATTAAGTCGCCATTGTAAAGATGAGACTTTAATCATCGTATTGATGTTAGCTTCAATCGTAAGGATTTTATCAATTATCTTACTTGCAAGGCTGAACTAAACCATTATTGATTTAACCAATAAATCTTTTAGTATTCGAATCGTTTTAATTTGAACTGTTTTCACCTGAAACGTGTTTGGACAATAGAAAATTCGACAACATTCTCATTTTCGTGAATTGTTTTATAAACATCCGAGGACGGGACAAACTTACATTAACTAGAAAATTCGTTGCGGTGAGTGTAGATAATAATAATGCGATGAATTTTCGCGCGTTGATGCGCACGTTTACTTGGATTTCACAAGCTTTTATATACGATAAATGCGTAAAGATCACCAGTCTAGAAGTGACTACGGAAAGATGAAGTAACATTTAACCACAAATGCTGGGTGCGAACGGAGAAAATAGATTGATGGCAGCACCAGTATCGAATAAAGAGTAAAATTGCTCTCGAAACCGGCGTAAAGGTTCCCCGATAGAGGATAGCCAGGCTAACCGGGCGCAAAGAGGGCCGCAAAGAGGGCCGCTAAAAGAGGGGGTGAGGAACGAGACGTTAACGACGATTCGTGACAATTGAATCCCCGGACTGGCCTTTTCAGTTTTCACCTTTTCGCCTTTCACCCGGCAGCCTTATTGCCGACCATAGAGGAGCGATTTAGGGAGGGGGACTCGCAGGCCGACAGGGTTCGAGGAGCATGGTTCTGGCCAATTCTTCTTTTCTCTCTTCGATTCCAAACCGGGAAGACGTTTACGCACGTACGGACCTACACGCTTGTACGTGTGCGTCGAGCTTTACTGGATCTGAAGAGAGAGAGAGAGAGAGAGAGAGAGAGAGAGAGAGGGAGAGAGAGAGAGAAAGGTCTTGATTCTTAAAATTCCCGGTGCACAGGGTCTTGTTCTCGTTCCGTTGCCCCGCGGCGATATTGGAGAACCTATCGCTGGCTTCTCATCTACTCCTTGGCATTCAATGGAACCGGACGAAATATTCGGACGCAATTTCTTTATGATAATTCAATTTTTCCTCCCGCCACTTCCCCCGCGCTCGTGACTATTCCTCTACTTCCTCCTCTTCTCCTTTCCTCTCCTCTCCTCACCACTTGCTCCGCGATTCTGATCCTCCAGACCTATGAGGACGTCTGTCCGCTGGCCTAAACGGATCCTACATACCGAACGTACCTTTTCTCCAGCTTTTTATCCTGCAAATGGCCGGACCTTATTCGCCCATATTGCCGCGAACCGGCTCCCACCAGCCTATAGAATCCCATCCACCTTTCGTGAATTCATTTTGAACGCTTCCGCCAGCCGCCTCTCCGCTCCAGAACTTCTGCCGTCGTTATTTCTTTGCCCGAGGTCTATGGAAACTGATCGATCCTGCGCACCGAGCGAATTTAACGCCTTCGATAGACCTGCTGTTAGATCTAAGTCTTCATGATTCCGACCACAAAATCGAACATCGGTGCTTCGGCTGGGATACCAGGACCTTCGCTTGATCACTAGCGAACGGTCCATTTGGGAATCGAAAGTCGCCCCACCTTCATCCTAATTTTAGGATAATATATTAGTGGTTTCAGTTGCGGTAAGGATGTTAATCATTATTTCAATGACTTGGCTGATATTGGTACCCTGGAACCATTTGGCGAACTCAGTGCCCCACATTCTTCATTTTCATATTTCATGTCTGACAAGAGAAAAATCTGCTGGATAGGCTAATAAATTATGAAGTGCAAACATATTATTCAGCGTTTTTAATGTCCTCGCTTTTAGCGTGGGCGTACTAGAATTTCTCAGCAGACTCGATCCGTTTTCAATTTTTATTTGAATCCTCATTTTCGTAGACTGTCCGACGTAATGAAAGTAAAAGAAAAATTTGGCACGCAGGCTAAAAAGATTTTCTGGCATATAAATATCATTTGAACATTTTTGCTCTTGAAGACGATTACTTTCAATTGCCGCGTTCAAATGAAATTCAATTCGCACTTTCATAGGTTGTTTGCCAAGTAAAAATAAGAAAAGAATACTCTCGCATAAAGATATCATTAATCATTTTTAAACTGCTTGTTTCGTATGCCGAAATACTGGAACTTGTTGGTGGACTCATTCTACTTAAAATTTCTATTAGAATTTCTATATTCATAAGCTGTTCAAAGAGGTAGAGGAATTAGGGAAAGATCTGTAATATTTCGTAATATGAAAACAGTATTAAGTATTTCAATATACTCGTTTTTAGTACCAACGTTCAGAAATCTTTTGCTAAGCTTCTTGCGCTTGTAGTAGTTAGCCTAATCCCCATTTTTACACGCGATTTAATAAAATGAATAAAAAAGAGATGCGCGATACGAAGATTTAAATATTCTCATCGACAAAGACATTATTAACGTTTGTCTTAATATTCAACAAGTGCATAAACGGTCACGAGCTTCTCATTATTACTGAACTAATCAGTGAATTAACATTAAGCTGCCTGTTCGAATTGCAATCGCGCCGGATCTTGGATAAAGGTGGACAGTTTAAAAATCGTTTAAACGTCCCGCGG